GCTGCGCTCTGTAAATAGCCCACTGGTCTGCCTCCTGCCAGTGAGGATTTTTAAACACTTAGTTAGTCTACATTGTAGCTGAAAAGCCCCTAAGGGGGAGCTTCAATTTACGTATTTATTTCTTTATTTATTGCTATGTTGCCCTACACATGTTCAGTGATGGATCACAAATCAAGGCTGTGCTCTAAGAAAAATTGAAGGGAGCCCAGTGCTTTGAAACTGTGAAATTCAGGGTGCCCAGTATATGCTTTTCATGAAAAAACTAAGATTCCTGAGTTGCCTGAGAGTAAAAGTAAGGGAACAGGGGCCACCTGGCACTGCTAGACCACAACCCTGCAAATGATATCAAAATTTGGCAAAAATGTTAAGTGGCATCCAGGGTGCAGCATGCTGACCCCTGGAAAATTGTGAAAAAATAAAAAAAGTAATTAAGAAGGGTATTCCTTTATTGCAAGTGGGTGTAGAGAGAGTCCACAATACTGGTTTGCAGTCAGCTTGGGAACAAGTGCAGTGGTAATTCAAGAGACTTATAGAAGGTGGCACAAGAATTTCCACTGCTGACTTGAGAGATCTGACTAATGTAGTTATAGAATGTTAAGCCCAAGATGAGAATTGACTTTGTGGAAGGGCTGTAACCTGTACCTCCTATAAATACAGGTTGGACATTCAACTGCTAACAGAGCTTTATCCAGGATCGAATCGGTTTTAACAGCTTTTTGAGAATAATTTTCATAATACCAGATTTGAAGTGCCTAACAACATCGTTTATTCTTACCCAGGGCTCGACACTAATGGTAGCCCACTAGCCACAGACTAGTAGAAATTCAGTTTTGGCTAGTGGTTTTCAATTTCTACTAGCCACTTTGGCTAGTAAACGGACTGAAATTGTCGTAACATCGAAAAACATCTAAGATGTCACTATAGCCACTTGGCCAGTAAGTTGAAAAGTTAGTATTGAGCCCTGTTACCCTCTTTCTTTCTTTCAGCGTGGATTGGTTCACTCTCCCTTGCTGCTGCTCAGGGGGCTGGTCCACTGGCTGGTTCTTTAGTTCATCGCTTTGGCTCTCGTATGGTTGGCATGACTGGATGTATAGTCTGTGCTCTCAGTTTAACAGCAGCCTCCTTTGCTGACAACCTGCTTCTGTTGTATGTGTCCTACAGTGTTTTTGGTACTGGTGCAGCTGGTGTATTCTTGGCAGGCTTTCACATTGTGCAAAAGAGTTTCGACAAAAGGAGATCAATTGCACTTGGAATCATCTCAGCCGGTCTAGGTCTTGGAACAATGGTTCTTAGTCAAGTTCTCCAGGTTCTTGTCAGTGTACTGAACTGGAGGAATTCCTTGCGAATTATGGCGGGTGCTTTGGTGGTCAATGGTTTATTAGGACTATTGTACAATCTGAAAAGAGACATTTCAGACACAAGTGTTAGTGAACCATTAGCTTGTGAAGAGCCTCAACATATAGCAACAACAAAACACTTTTCTTTTAATTTGTCAGTATGGAAGGTCCCTGGTTTTCTCAATCTTACTGCTTGCTATATTGTTGTTATGTTTGGACGCTCAATTGTCTATGTACATTTGGTAAGTTCTAACTTGGTAGTTTGTGATCTGAAAGAAAACCTCAATAGTGCCTTTTTTTCAGATAAAAGAAGGGTCAGGCCATTATGTATCACCTGGAGAAGGGGAGAGGGGTTGGGTGGGACGATTTTGGTTCTGTTGTGATAACATTTACCTGATCCCTACAGAATGTAATATTGTTATGATCCCCTCCCCCCTCATGGGTTGTCAATTGGCAGTCAGGTTTTTTTATAGTCCCCCCCTTTATACTCTGTTGGCAATAAATGATCCACCCTCTGTTCCCCCTTGAAAATCATGTGATCCCCTGCCCTTCCACCCTCCTAAGGCAATAAATAATGACTGGTCCCTCAGTAAATGCAGTTCTTTCATAGTTGATTATTGCTCTGATACAAACCCTCATTAGGATGATGTAGTCAAGGTCAAGGAATAGAGCCTTATGGTCCCTTTTTCAATCTAAAGGGTCCCTGGTGAGGTCCTTAGGTAGCTGTAACAATGCTGGAGGTCCCTCTTTGGTCCCTAGAGTCCCTGTAAAGGTCCTCAGGAAATTAATATGATCCCCAAGGTTCCTTTCATGATCCTGTGGGTACTTGTAAAGATCCTAAAAGAACTTATACTTGCCTAGATGTTCTTCTTACAACCCTCAGGGTCCCTGTAAAGATGGTATGTGCTCCTGCTATAAATCTTAGGTCTTTGGTGATCATGATCCTGAGGGTCCCTGTAAAGACCTTGTCAATGAGGACCCTTAGGGTCCCTATAGAGCTTGTTGGGGTTCTTTACGTCATCCCCAATACAAGGTCCTTGTTCATCAAGATTTCCGGGTCATTGTCAAGACACTCAACGTGTTTGAGAAGGTTCTCCAAGATGCCTGTAATGATCTTTCTTGTACGACACTAACTTTTCCGTCCAGGTATAGTGGAATTGCCTGACCAAAGCAGAGTTTTTTTTTTTTTTTTTTTGGGGGGGGGGGGGTTATTTAGTAGTTTCTAGACTCAACTTACCAGATTATTTAATTTGGCATGTAGGTGAAATACTCAGAAGACTGTGGAGTGCCATCTGACAAGGCGGCAAGACTTATTCTTTACTTGGGAATACAAACTGTTCTCGGACGATTCGCGTGTGGTTTTCTCTGTTCCTATAAGCGACTCCACAACTCTTACATTTATCAAGGTGTGCTTCTTATTATCGGTGTTTCTACCTTGTTAGTGACTTTGGCTAAAAGTTACGGGGCGTTCGTTGCATACGCTTTAGTATTTGGTTTCACGGACGGGGCTTGGGCAACCGTGAACAACATTCAAGCCGTAAGTTGTGTAGATGAATCGAGAGCGGCGTCCGCGTTTGGATTCATGCTTCTCGCTGGATCCGTGACATCAATGGTTGGGCCTCCAGTATCAGGTGAGACTCTTTGCTTATTAGACGCATACTGTAAGACTCCTCCCCCCAGCTCTACCCTCCTTCCTTATGGGCCCATCTACCTGTGCACAAAAAATACAGTTTACGGTAGAAGCCCTCCATCAACCTTACGCAAGTGATCAAAACCATCCCGCGAGAACTACAGTTTTCGATGTCTCGTCAGCATGTTCCCCTTGTTCCCGCCTAGAAAGAAGAGAAACATGATGAGAGAATTTGTCTCTTCTAATCTTGCTCGCCCGGGGAGGGTGCAGTGCCAAAGGGGCTGTAACTACATCCACACTACCATGGATTGTCTGTCAGATTTTTTAGTAATTTTAAGTCAGTGGTCTGGGATAGAGCGCCTTTCGATTGAGTGTCGTAAAACGAAAACTTAAGTAATTACAACTACCAATCAGAAGAAAGGAAAATACCTGTAAGAGCCAATGAGAACTCAAAGTAAAAACAAAGAAGCTGCCCAGAGCGCGGGAAAACGTATAAACAACTTAGCTGCCTAAAGCGTGGGAAACCTTAAAACAACCTAGCTGCCTAAAGCGCGGGAAAACGCGAATGGCTTTGTTATGATTGGTTTAGTTTTGCATCTTATTGGTTGAGAACGTAGCTCAAGTTTTCTGGACCAATGACAGAACAGTAAGGCAAAACCAGTGCTATCTCTGATAACTTTCGAACACTCATTGATCATTGCCCTATTAACGTGACTCTCAACCCCTAGGTCTTGCCGCTGACAAGTTTGGATCATACGATCCTGCATTCTACATGGCCGGCGGTGCCCTGCTAACGGCCTCGTTCATTCAGTGCGTATTCTTTTATCTTAAATTTGGGAGGGAGACTGGTGCAAAGCATACAGCTACAGAACATATATGCGACCTCCAAGTGCAGAGTAACTTAAACGATGTTCAGATAAACGCGCACACTTTGGAAGCAGTTCACCAGTCGAACGAGGAAAGTCGTTCATCATCAGATCATTTCCATCAGATCATTTCCACTGTTTAAAAGATCGAGGAAACCAAAACCTGAAAAAAGAAAAGAATATAAATATTTATTTATTGTTATCTAATTTTGTTGGAATAGTGAGTGAATTTCATAGAAGGAAATTACCAACATATCCATGATAATCTCATTGCATAAAAAGGGTGCAAAAAATTCTCAGTTGGTGAAAAGTGTGCGCTCTGTACTCTTACAATAATAGATAAAAATGAAAAAGATGATTAATGGATAAAAGATATTCCATAATAAAAAATTAATACGATAGTTATCATCGTTTCGTCTTCGTGTGAAACGCACCCAAAAAACACGGAGGATTTCACTCATCTTTTTCACTACATGTTAAGATTTGTGTCTGTGTGTGTGTGGGTGCGCGTGTGTGTG